ATATATATATATATATATATATATATATATATATATATATATATATATATATATATATATATATATGTGACAGCGAGTTCGTGTACAGCAGCTTTTGTGCAGTGATGAATTCAATAGAATACAGAAGTTCAGCTTTCAGAAGACTGCAGCATCCAGAGCTGTGCATGCAAGCGCATGCATACAGCATGCACACAACATGCATGAGGGAGCTGTTGTTCTTGGGGTGTATGGACACTGGCTACAGGGCAACCTGAGGCGCCGCGACGAAATATTTTTGTTGATTTGTGATGTTTTGGGGTTTTCTGACGAAGAGAGGGAGCGCTACGGTCTCCCACGGAAACAGAGTGAAAGAGGAAAAGAGGTGAATACAAGCAAAAGAGTTGTTTCATGTTTCGCAGTCTAGTGCACTTGAGAAAGCACGCTGGGGTGTACATACACCGCAGCAGGCGTTCGATGAAGCCAACAACTATTTCCATACATTAAAACATCAGATATATTTCAATTCTACGGGATTAGTTGGGACTCTGCATGCGTATATACACCCGAGAGCGTCTTGTACAAATATGTATATTCATGAATTCCAGAAGAATATATACTGTATAGAAGAATATGTATTTGCGGCAACAGTGGAGTAGCAGGCCCGTATGCAGCTGCATGCAGATACAGCCTGCGCGTGCTTCTGCGTTTCTATAACTAATAATATTCAAACAAAATGCACTTGTTTACGTTTTACCTGCGTGCGGTGTGTATAGAGGAAACTAGCTTTCAGTAGCCTTTATTGGCGCTTATCTAAGCATGTACATATGAATGCTGGCGTAGGAGATAGGCTGCATGCACTCTGTTTCTTGTTTGTGTTTATTGTTTTATGCATATATTTCTGTTTTTTTTTTTGTTGCAGAGCGGCGGGCTTTCTGAGCAATTTGTGGAGTTTTTAAATGGGGAGGTTTCGTAGCTCGCGGGCCTCAACCTGAATGAAAGGCTAGCTGAGAATGCTGCCTGATGGCTAGCCATTGGCTAGCTGGTTGGCTAGCCAGCTAGTCTGTTTTGTTCAGAAACAAAGGGGAGGGGATGGAAGATGCTGCCTGCAGTTAAGGAGTTGATGTGCGTTGCCCAGCGGCATAAACTGCAGTTACACCCGGGGACCTGAAATGTTTGTTTTTTTTTTTTTTTTTTTTTTTTTTTTTNTTTTTTTTTTTTTTTTTTTTTTTTTTTTTTTTGCAAGAAAGTTGTATTTCAGTGTTCAGAAAATAAACTCTCACCACAAGAATTCCATTAAGGCCGTGTTGAGAGGCTTTATAAGCTGCATTGCAATCGTTTCCTGTTGCAGCAGGTGTTGTTGCATCAGCAGTTTCACTAGGAGTTGTATGAGCTGTTGAATAAGGAGTCCTCAGGGAGTCTGAAAGCGACGGATCTGCTGGACTCAGCGGCAGCAGCAGATTGCGGTGAATGCGTCGTCTAGTTTCGCGGCTGTATTCATCTTCCTCTGGAGACAATGAAGCGGTTTGGCGTTTTCTGCACAAGACAGAAGGACTGACGTCGCCTGCAGCGGCTGCTGCTCCGGCGGCTGCTGCTAGAGTGGCTGCTGCTGCAGCTACTGGTGAGTGTGGTGTGACTGGGCTTGTAAGCGTTTCCTGCGACGACTCTTCACTTGAGGTTCTGCTTTCAGAAAAAACCAGAGAAAGCTGAATAAGAACCTCGATGGGGGGGAATATAGAGCTAAATATATCGTACAGAATGGGCGATGATGTCGTTGGAGAGGCGGCCGATGCTGGCAAAAGAGCAGTGCGGCTTAAAGCCACCAACGCAGTCACTGAAACCCTGTGCAAAGCGACTGAACAGGCGTGGGTTTCTCGTTCGTTTCTGTTTATACATTTGTTGCTTTCCTACTTTGAAATGCTCGTTTCTGATTTTAATTGAGAAAATAATCCATAAACCCAACGAATCGTTCATGAAAAAACAATTTATTACCTCTTCAGCCCATCGCAGTGCACCACTCGCTTCCTCCATTTTCAGCTTTCCAGAGCAGCCAGAAGCAGAAGTGAGCCGACGCTGCAGTTCAAAAGAGAAAATACTTTACTGCGAAAAAGAAGTTTTTATTGCAGTAATAATCATAATAAAAATAACGACAACCGCCCTGGCTGTTCTTGCTTTCCGCTGCTGAGTTCGTAAGATAATCTGTTCGACTCCTGTTGCTCTGTTCAGGTGTACAGACACCTGTTGAACTGAACGTTTGCAGATACAAAATATTTGAACTGCGTTAGTTTGGTGAATCTGAAGCAATAACGCGCTACAGGCGGTATCAGAAACAGGCGGTATACACATATACTGGGTGCACTGAAACACTTGCACAACATTGAATTTCCCGCGTAGAGCTGCAACGAAATAAAAGGAGAAAGAGAAGTCTCTGTCTCAACACGAAAGCGATAGCTCGTATCTGTATCTGTACAGCAGCAGCTTGCACTGCCACTTGTATTTATTCGCCGACTATAAAAGTCTGCGAAGAACGCAATAGTCGACAATCGCCCTCGGCCGGCGTACACACAAACATATATATAATATATATCTTATACACATTTAACACAATATATATATATATATATATATATATATATATATAATAGAAGCGTCCCGCTTCTGACGGGGCATTCAGTTGCTGTTACTTCATATGAAATGAATCGTTTCAATGTTTCCTCGAAAAAGGCTGTTGTGACTTCTTCATTCTTCTCGCTTTGTTTTGCATATTCAGCTGTACATACACCGGAGGTGTAGAGAGTTTCAATTTGTTTGTATATGTGAAGAGGCATTGACATCACTTTTGCACTGGCACTCCATTGCTGAGTTTATCACAAACTCGTGTCAGTGTGTTCAGCCTCTCGTGAGCCTGTCGAAGGGCGACGGAGAGGCCAAGAACCTGAACAAACAAAAGCAGAGACGTTTCAGACTGAACCAACAACTTTTGGCCTCAGTGACGACTGAAAACATATATATATATATATATATATATATATATATATATATATATATATATATATATATATATATATA